GTAAAGGATGTGCACGTGGCCGTGGTGTAGGCGCAGTGCTTCTTAAATATTTCATGTCATTCACAGCTCAGAGTCTTTATCATCAAAAAATTCATTCAGCCGCGCGACACTAAATTCTTGTTTTTGGAAGTTTCATTCCTTCTCCAAATCCATATTCATTCACCCTTGGTGAACCCTATTCACTGCAGTTTAAGAAGCACTAGTGTAGGGAATGTGCATGTGTGCCCAGAATGTGTCGGTAAAATAATAACAACAGGCGGCTCTAAAGCTGACCGCCTAAAATGGCCTTTGAAATTTAGCGTCAGTCATTGTTGCCACTGGGGTTTCTGGGCCAAACTAAAGTGTCTGAGAGAGCCACCGAAATGCTATGCAGACTATTTTCTGGATCTTGAGCTAGAACTATGTTTTATTGGTACTAAAAAAATGCACAAAATAGTTCTGCATTGAGCCTTGAACTATGTCGTCGTGTGTGTATAATAATTATGAACAACAAATTATTTCAGGTTGGAAGTTCCTGTGAGGCAGAATGTCCAGGTCTACTATTGGAGAATTACAAGAAAGAATTGCTAGGTAATGATAGTTTTTTACGGTAATGGTTTCATCGTAGCAGCCTATAGTAACAAGCAACTGCTGTGGGGAGAAGCTGAGATGTTAATGTCTCACAACCCCACCAGGTGGCACCACTGGTACCTCAAATGATTATATCAGCACAGTGTGTCATTAAAACGGATAAACCCTCGCAGCAAAAAGCTCTTATATACCTACTGTGAGCATACTTGCAGTGTGCAAAATCACGAAATGTTCTCATGGAACAAAAAAGTGTCTCCGAAGTTGACTAGTTTGAAAACTCTGTCACGCCGCTGTTTTGTTACACAGCATAACAGTGGCCCTACGCTAGCGCAAATTATTTCTGGAACGAAAAACTATATTTAATTGTTCTGATTGCATAAGTAATATAGATAACGATATGATTTAAACAAATTTCAAAATTTTGTACTGAATAAACATCGAATAATGAATTAATAACTTGTTTTATTCGTAGAAAGGAACTGTTAATGAATCGAGGCCGATCGCTCCGCTGTGTCCGCGGATGTGTAAACATCACTGTGCTGCTACGTTCGTAAGAGAGTAATTCGTTTAGATTTTGAGAAGAAATGTTATGAAAGTAGCGATACAAATGCAGTTGTAGTGAATTTTTGCAACATATGCAAGCTCCACAGTATAGGTATGCATTTAGCTGCGAGATTTATCAACTTTTTAAACGAAGAAAGGCTCATAGTCACAGGTGCAGTATAGTTACGTGGAAACGAAAAAACCGATGCCCATATGCGTTTTTACCTTGATGCTACGTGAAACTAACTCCACGCGGTTTTTTCCTCGCATTTAGAAAAGCAAACTTTGGATCGCTACTCCGGCCGGGCGCGCTTTAGGCGCCACCTACGTTCCGCCCAAGGACAGGCCGAATCCGTTGCCTACGACTACAGATCTGAAGCGAAGGAAATGAAATAATCGTAGCTTGTCGTATGCGACGATAGATCGGCGGAGTGGCCGGGGGGGGGGGGGGGGGTGAGAAGGTTTTACATCTTTAACTTACAGCTGTTGGAGCCTCACCCTGCTACAACCGACAGCACTGCATACAATAATTACACCGAAACAGCTTCAGGAGTAGTCGGGCTTGGCTCGGGCAAATACATTTACCCTTCCTGCTGCACATTGCAGAATGCACGAAGGGTTTAGGGGAAAAGTGGCCACGTCTATATGGCGTATCACACAACAAAATTCGTTGCTGCGGACCCCGCTTGTAATTTGTTGCCAAGTCGTTCTGACGTTCGTTATCTTTCGATAAACGAGTTTGTTTTTTCGCAAATTTTAGCGATGATGTGTGAAAAGGTTTGTATTTTCTGTGTGTTGTAGATAGGTGATGCTCACAGACTACTCTAGTAAAGGCAGCACAACTCTGCCGTATGACTCTGCATGGTACGTACGTGTAGAAGAGTGGGGGCTTATTCATACTGTAATAAACTCGATTGTTATTGTTATTATTACTTATGCTAGTATGTCTTCACTCCGCTAATACTGCCTTCTCATTGTGGATAAAACATTAGGTCATAGATGAAGGTCAAAGTATGACATTTTTAGATGGCATTAGCCTAGTGTAGTGGTTGGTAAACACAAAAAATACTGAATTCATGTAAAATCATATATATATATATATATATATATATATATATATATATAATATATATATACATATACATGTATTTGTTTATATACATGCTGCAACATTGCTAATATTGTTTGTTGCTGTGCAATTCCTTTTTTCGTCAAACTATTGTGTTCATTTTATGTCACAGTGATGACGACGACATTGAACTGCCTGATTCTCTCTGCATTGTTATGATGCGATGAAGCGCCATCTCTTGTCGGAACAGGGTCGAGTTTGTCCCTGCGTAATGACGGCCCCTCTTATTGAAGACGTGAAGTACTGGCAGCGCCTAGGTGCCTGCTTAGACATGCGGTGCTATCCATCTACAGACTATAGTTAATAATAATCATAGTGATGGTCGAGAACAAATCGGTGTATCGGTCACATTTATATTTTTGTATCTATAAAACTGAAGGCATATATATGTTCTGGTATGCCTCAGTTAGTCTGTGTGATAGCAAAAATTGTGATACCTGTCGCAACAGTGTGATGTCGCGAACATTTCATATACCAGTACCCAATACGTCTAATATATAAAATTAATTAGGAAATCGATACGCTTTGATTGATAAATATTAAAATAATACATGTTTTTTTATGGTTATGGATATCAAGATATTGCTATAGTAATTTATTGTCAGTGTATTCTGCTGTATAATGCTTTCCAGTATGTATTTAGTATTATTTTGGTTGCTCTCAGATTTATATGTCGTAGCAGCAAATGTTGTATGACTGAAACCGTGATTATAATTAATTATCATAAGTATTTCAACTGAACTTTCAGTTTATTTCTGTGTATTTTTTTTATATCTACCTATATAAATGTATTGTATTTTATAACCACGCATTTCACAGAAACATGACAAGCACAATTACATTTACTCAATAAAGGAAATATTCTCATTTGAGTCTCTCTCTCCCCCCAACGACGGCGCATTTCCAACTGCAAAAAGGTGTGCAGCTTCAATGGCCATTTTCTAAAATACTGAACTGCATCAGAGCATATAAATCACCATATAAGAGCATATTATCAGCATATTATCAGCATATAAGAGCATATATATGATTTATATGCTCTGACTGCAGTGTTTGAAATCAATGTGAATAAAAATACACGAAACTACAGCAAATATACATATATATTTACATTGTTACTTATAATTCATTTTATTATTTGGAGTGGGCAGACCATAGAGATGTATAAATCGTTTATTTATACATCTCTATGGGTAGACTGGTACCCCGGTCCCCAACTCTCGGCTTAGGTTACTAAGCCGAATAAATATAATTAATTAATTTAAAAAATAAAAATAAATTTAAAAAAAATAAATTAAAAAATAAATTAATTACTAAGCCAAAACCTCGGCATCGGCTTAGGTATGGCGATTACCCATCGAGTAATCGAGGTGGAGCGAGTACCAGTCTACTTCATGGGGCAGACGCTGTAGACTGGTACTCCGCTCCCACCTCGATTACTCGATGGGTAATCCCATACTCTATGCCGAGGCTTCGCTTGGTAATTAATTAATTTTTTTAATTTAAATTTTCAATTTTTTTTAAGAGGAGAGGTGGGACTCCTAAGCCGAAAGTGGGACCGGGTACCAGTCATGGTACAGTCTACATAGGCTGTTTATTGTGGTGGCGCTGTGCGACTACATAAGCTGGCGACATCTGGTGGTGGTATGCACGATCGTGTAAACTTCAAGTTCTCAGGCGCGTCTCTTGCGGCGTGCCAAGTTGAGTATTAGTTTATTATTTCCTACCGGTTCAAGACCAATAATCAATATATGACGTATACGTTTACAGATATCATACATTCAAGATGGGGAATTGCAACACGGCTGCCCAAATGAGGCGTTAATAGTATCAGGTTAGTTTAGTTACACTGCTTACTTCGATACTCCCTTCATAGTATTAGAGTTTATACTGTACATAGGCCTAGTGTTTACAAATCTCTAGCCCAGCTTGGCTACGACTGACACTTTCAGTTTCGCGTCGTAGACTAGAGCTTAGAAGCTCACGTCGTAAGAAGCGAGAAGGTAACTTGTGGTAGTCCTCCATCGTAGTAGTACTAGTAGTAGTAGTAGTACTAGTAGTAGTACTACCTACTATAGCTCTAGTACTATATAGCCCGCGTACATTGACTGCCGCAGGCGCCTGCGGCAGTCAATGTACGCGGGCTATAGTACTAGAGCTATACCTACTACTAGTAGTAGTACTCCTAAAGGCCATAAAGGTTCAAGGATAGAGAACATGGGTCCCAATAAAACCAATGTCATTTACATCAATATAAATATAATATTATATCAATATAATAGGTTAGGGTTATTGTTAGGGTTAGGTTTAGGGTTAGGGTTAGGCACATTGGTTTCCTTGGGCCCAGTAGTCAGTAACTGTATGACAGTATGATAATAATATATATGTAGGCCTACCAACAGTGTTGGCATCGCAAGAGACAAGATTAGGCTTTTTTCTACTGCGATCTGCAGTGTTGGCACTGTTGATCTGTCTGCTTGATCAACGTACTGTGGCTCTCTCAGTCTGCGATATAATCCCTTAGACTTCGAAGACTAATACTAATAGTAATAAAGTAATATTTATGAAGTTATGAGTTTAAGTTGACTCACATATTGACATGCGTCTAAACATAGGTATTGCTCCGACCTGTGATTGGAGGATAAAAATAGAATTCGTGACGTTTCGTTTTCATTTTGCATACCTCGCCGCATACGCTATTAGTATTACGCTATATGACCGATAGGAAAGTGTACTAACCAGGGTTGAAAATAACTCGCCGATCCGGTGATCCGACGGCTTTTTCAGCTTGGATCAACACCGGATCATGAAAATAAAACATCGGTGATCCGACTGGATCACCGAAAAAAAAAAAATAAAATAATAATTTGAAAACGTTGTAGAAGAGTGGACCACCATTAAACTCTATGTACAGAAAAGGGACAGTGATGAACGTGGCCGTCAAGAGCAACATGGGCAACATTCTGGCAGCAAACCCAAGAAGCAAGAACTTTGCTGCTGTGGTAATCTCTCTGTTGCTGTCTTTGCCGTCTACTAGTGTAGAGTGTGAGAGAGGTTCTCTCTCAAATGAAGAGAATAAAGTCTGATTGGAGAAGCAGACTATCAGGATCCAACTTAAATGCACTGATGAGAATTTCTCTGGATTCTCCTGCAGTAGGTGCTTTTGATCCGTCTAATGCAGTGGCACTGTGGGAAGCAAGAGAGAAGACGAAGGCCTTTTGTCAAACCGTATGGGCCTCATCTTTCCACTAAACCTGCCACTGTTGAAGAGATGATGAACAGACAGCCGAAGATTACGTAGATGACGATGATGCACTTATTAATATTATAGAACTGTCTGTGCAACACTCAGACTCAGACTGAGAAAAGAGATACACGTTCTGCAATGTTGATTGCATGGATGAAACCATATAGAATGTTATAAGGATCGATTATTATTCTATTTGATGTCTCCCTCGACGTTCTGCAATGTTGATTGCATGGATGAAACCATATAGAATGTTATAAGGATCGATTATTATTCTATTTGATGTCTCCCTCGACGTTCTGCAATGTTGATTGCATGGATGAAACCATATAGAATGTTATAAGGATCGATTATTATTCTAGTTGATGTCTCCCTCGAAGTTCTGAAATGTTGATTGCACGGATGTAATACACGGAACAATGAGGCCATAGAATGTTATAACGATCAATTATTACCTCCGCCCACGGAGTTAACGGAGTAACGGAGTGGAGGGGAGGTAATGTAATCGGTCTCGTTACCTCCACCCACGGAGTTAACGGAGTAACGGAGTGGAGGGGAGGTAATGTAATCGGTCTCGTGTGTGTGTGTGTGTGTGTGTGTCCAGTCCGCGCGGCATGATCGATAGCGCGTCGAGTCAGCGAGCGGCGAGTCAGCAGCAGGCGAGTGAGTCAGCAGCAACCACCAGTGAGCAGCGAGTCAGCAGCCGCCACCAGCGAGCGGCGAGTCAGCAGCAGGCGAGTCAGTCAGCAGCAGCCAGCAGCGAGCGACGAGCCAGCTCGTAACACATACATGTTACATTCTGGCGGAGGTATGCACTCTCCGTGAGTGCCCTCTGTCTAGTTATTCTATTTGATGTCACCATTGCAGCAGCAGCAGCATTAGCAGCAGCAGTAGCGGTAGATTATAACCAAACACAAGAGCATTCAGGCATACACTTGTGTCGGTTATATTATAATTATTGTATCTACATCAATGGCAGCCATGACACTTGAAGTAGTGCTAGTAGTTGCATGTTGTTATTGTTTGCTGTTCAATTAATTGTTGATTCCCCCCCCCCCTTCTCCGTATATCTCTGCACTACACGCAGTGAGCGAAGAACGCTGCACAGTGGCGCTCATAAGGTCTATGTCCCCAAGGGTACTATCGGAGAGTACCCGGGTAACTATCTGATATGGTTAGGGTTAGGGTTAGGGAGTAGGCGTAGGCGACTCCCTAGACTCGTTAGTGGAGTAGGCAAGGTACGGTCCGGCATATATATATATATATGATTTTACATGAATTCAGTATTTTTGTGTTTACCAACCACTACACTAGGCCTACATGCCATCTAAAATGTCATACTTTGACCTTCATCTATGACTAATGTTTATCCACAATGAGAAGGCAGTATTAGCGGAGTGAAGACATACTAGCATAAGTAATAATAACAAATAACAATCGAGTTTATTACAGTATGAATAAGCCCCCACTCTTCTACACGTACGTACCATGCAGAGTCATACGGCAGATTGTGCTGCCCTTTACTAGAGTAGTCTGTGAGCATCACCCTATCTACAACACACAGAAAATACAAACCTTTTCACACATCATCGTAAAAATTTGCGAAAAAAACAAACTCGTTTATCGAAAGATAACGAACGTCAGAACGACTTGGCAACAAATGTACAAGCGGGTCCGCAGCAACGAATTTTGTTGTGTGATACGCCATATAGACGTGGCCACTTTTCCCCCTAAACCCTTCCGTGCATTCTGCAATGTGCAGCAGGAAGGGTAAATGTTATGCCCGAGGCAAGCCCGACTACTCCTGAAGCTGTTTCGGTGTAATTATTGTATGCAGTGCTGTCGGTTGTAGCAGGGTGAGGCTCCAACAGCTGTAAGTTAAAGATGTAAAACCTTCTCACCCCCCCCCCCCCCCCCGGGCCACTCCGCCGATCTATCGTCGCATACGACAAGCTACGATTATTTCATTTCCTTCGCTTCAGATCTGTAGTCGTAGGCAACGGATTGCGGCCTGTCCTTGGGCGGAACGTAGGTGGCGCCTAAAGCGCGCCCGGCGGAGTAGCGATCCAAAGTTTGCTTTTCTAAATGCGAGGAAAAAACCGCGTGGAGTTAGTTTCACGTAGCATCAAGGTCAAAAACGCATATGGGCATCGGTTTTTTCGTTTCCACGTAACTATACTGCACCTGTGACTATGAGCCTTTCTTCGTTTAAAAAGTTGATAAATCTCGCAGCTAAATGCATATATATACCTATACTGTGAGCTTGCATATGTTGCAAAAATTCACTACAACTCATTTGTATCGCTACTTTCATAACATTTCTTCTCAAAATCTAAACGAAATTACTTCTCTTATGAACATAGCAGCACAGTGATGTTTACACATCCGGGACACAGCGGAGCGATCGGCTCGATTCATTAACAGTTCCTTTCTACGATAAAACAAGTTATAATTCATTATTCGATGTTTATTCAGTACAAAATTTTGAAATTTGTTTAAATCATATCGTTATCTATATTACTTATGCAATCAGGAAACAATTAAATATAGTGTTTTCGTTCCAGGAAATATTTGCGCTAGCGTAGGGCTACTGCTAGCTGTGTAACAAAACCGCGTCCGACAGAGTTTTCAAACTAGTCAACTTCGGAGCACATTTTTGGTTCAATGAGAACATTTCGTGATGTTTGCACACTGCAAGTATGCTCACAGTAGGTATATAAGAGCTTTTTGCTGCGAGGTTTATCCGTTTTAATGACACACTGCTGATATAATCATTTGAGGTACCAGTGGTGCCACCTGGTGGGTTGGTGAGACATTAACATCTCGGCTTCTCCCCACAGCAGTTGCTTGTTATTAGGCTGCTACGATGAAACATTACCGTAAAAACTATCATTACCTAGCAATTCTTTCTTGTAATTCTCCAATAAGTAGACCTGGACATTCTGCCTCACAGGAACTTCCAACCTGAAATAATTTGTTGTCATAATTATTTTAACACCAACGAAACATAGTTCAAGCTCAATGCAGAACTATTTTGTGCATTTTTTTAGTACCAATAAACCATAGTTCTAGCTCAAGATCCAGAAAAGATCTGCATAGCATTTCGGTGCTCTCAGACACTTAGTTTGGCCCAGAAACCCAGTGCAACAATGACTGACGCTAAATTTCAAAGGCCATTTTAGCGGTCAGCTTAGAGCCCGCTGTTGTTATTATTTTACCGACACATTCTGGGCACACATGCACATTCCCTACACTAGTGCTTCTTAAACTGGTGAATGGTTCACCCAAGGGTGAATGAAATTATTTTGGAGGGAATGAAACTTCCCAAAAACAAGGAAATTTAGTCGCCGGTGAATGAAATTTTGTGATAAAGACTCGAGCGTGAATGACACTGAAATAGTTTAAGAAGCACTGCCCTACACCACGGCACGTGCACATCCCTTACACCACCACACGCACACGCGCAGAACTGCTGGATATCTTGCCTGTTGTCGTGCCCGTCAGTCGTCAGGACGATGGGGATGGAGAGACGCGAGTACCAGGATGGGCAGCCCTCAAGCTTGTCCAGCGAAGCCAGCATGGAGTCGTCCACATCAAACAGCTCTCCCTCGACGTTCTGCAATGTTGATTGCACGGATGAAACCATAGAATGTTATAAGGATCGATTATTATTCTATTTGATGTCTCCCTCGACGTTCTGCAATGTTGATTGCATAGATGAAACCATATAGAATGTTAT